TATTTGGGCCATGGGTTTGGCAACTACACTTCAAAATTTCAGCGAAACTGGAAGCAAAACTGTCTTTAAGGTAGGGCAGCACCATGTAGAGGGACCCTTTCTCCACTACAGTAGCAGAAATACTTACCTTCATACAGGTACAGGAAAATGTTGTACTGGTCAGTGTGATCAGCCTTTGGCACAGTTGCCGTTGTATGTAGAACTGAGAAGGGTCAGAAGCATTGAGGCCAACAGTTTTAATACCAAATGTCAGCTGAAATAGTTGCAGATCTGAGATCATAAGGAGAAAGCCAAATCAGGAAAGAAGTCAGTACTAACATTAGACTTGTGTTGACAAATGACTAATCATTCAGGCTTGCCGTTCTGTGCCTTCACCAGGCAATGCCGTAAAGTACGTATAACATTGTCCTGAGCACTGGTGATACACTAAATTAAGTATCGTAGTTACAACTGACTGTTAGCGTGTTACCATTACTACAAGTTGGAATTAGATTTTTTTAAACTTTGTAAGATAAATACAAGGAAACTATGAATTTGAAACTAAATGTAAAAATAATGCCTATATTAGAAATAACATTAACTACCTGTAAGATAAACCTGATGGTTGGATGTTCACAGCAAAAGCCAGTCCTTCTCTTAAATGCTCTTACACGCATCCCCACACCCCCCAGGCTAAACTAATAGCACATTGTTTTCAAGAAATCAAAGACCACTATCTTCATCCTTTGCTGGTCTCCTGGTTAGTCTACACTGTGGTTGCCATACATATTCTTCCAGGTGCTGCTTAATACTCTACTTTATAGGAAAGTTTTATTTTAGGTAAAGTGATGACAGTTAAGGTGTCACTGCTAGTTCTGATTCAGATCAGTAGTATAGGAAAATGGAAAAACAAGAGTCTTTAAGACAAGATATTATAATACCATGCTTTCTAAAAGCACCCTCTTTTATGCATCTACATATATTTACAAGACATACTCTGTATCCTTTGTAAAAAAAAATGATACTGACATTCTTAAACAACTTGGTATAATACAGACATTCCTATGTATTTAAACTGTGATTTGCAGTAATCATCTTTCCCCCAAGCAACTTTGACAATGCAGTGTTTAAGTTAACGCTGATTAAAAAGTGGTAATATGTCATTATTAATTATGTCTTCTAGTTAAATGTCTCCATTTTGCTTTAGAAAAAAAAACGGCAACAGATTATTCAAATCTTGAACTGTGTCAAATAAATGCTTGATGCTGATGGAGATGCATTTCGTAGAGAGGATAAATCAGTTGCTGTGGGGATGGACGCTCTCTTAACACACCCTGTGTAGACACATTTTCAAGAAACCTGTGGGTGAAAAGAACATGGTTTGAGAGGAAAGACTGCAGCAATGAAAACTGAAAGAACAAATGGAAGAAAGAGTAACACAACTGTGAGGCTCTGAAAGGAAAGAGTTGAGTACAGTCTAGCACAGCTTCGGAAAGTGCTATTAGAAGAAAACCCCTTTCTCTTCTTTTCCATGAAACCGTATTAGAATCAACTGGCAGTGTGCCTGTTTCCAACATTAGATCTTAGTCCTGCAGATGCTGCATGCACAGAACTCTGGAGGTGAAATGACAGCAAATTCCATGCAAGAAGTGGCATCCTGGTCATTTTTGCAGCTATAGAGACTAATTACTGCATTTTTATCAAGTGCTGTTCATTTTTTAGCAACTTCAACCCCCCTGGCTTTCCTGAGTATGCTGCTCTGTAAGTGACAATCAGCGCCAAGTTGCCTCATGAGTTTTAACTGTTAACTGGAGTGCCATTGACAAAAACAACATAAAATTGTGAAAAGCTTTTATTACAGTCTTTTGTATTACAATAGCCATAGTTTTACTATTGTTTTGAACATGAATTAAGCACTTCACAGTTGTGCAGCTCTCCACTAAAATGAAATGACCTTTTGTTGAGCATATGTGCTTTATTGATCTACTGTGTAATGTACTTTATTCTGGACAAGACATTTAATCAGGAAAGACAACCCCTTTTCATTTACATGGATTCCATGTTTCTTTAAAAAACATCTTTGAAAGAACCGTGAAACCGTGGACTACTAGACATTAATTTATTGTATGACTATAACAAATACAGGTTTTTAAAAGTGCATTATATGGCAATAACCCTTCTGAAGAATTCACTTTTACAAAATCCTCATAATAAGGGGAGTGCTCGATTTGAACACAGTGCAAGCAGTCAAGTTGTCCTGAGAATTTATAAAGGTGGTCGTAAGTTTACCTTCATGACAGGTGCGTATTACCACTACTTAATGGCTTAATCCCTTTTTTGTCATCTAGAATCCTTTTGATCTTCACTACTGAATGTGACAGGAAAACCAAAGTGCAAATTTCATCTGCATGTGACAGGTGCCAGTAGTCATGTGTGAATATTTAACAGCTTAATCCAGAGACACTCTCAGTTCTGTTCCAAGGTAGGCCAGCTCAACTCACAGTCAGCAAGGCTAGACAGCTGGTTTAGAAACAGCTACTGTCAATTCTTCTCCAGCAGTGCAAGACAAAGAGAGAAAAGGCAAACTTGGAATAATACTTTAGTATTTTGCACATGCAAAACCCTGAGAGGCTGTGGAAGGACGACAATACAAACCAAACTCCTATTGCCAAGACATTCACTTCTCGCCTCTCTGACACCGTGGTGTACTTGACAGTAACCTTTCAACTGACAGCCTCAGCTCTACATAAGCCGTCCCTGCCTGCAGTAACACTTGGATTTGACATTTGCTAGCACATGAAGGAGTCTCTCCCAGAAGATGGCAACAGCATCTTTCTGCCAGTAAGCCAAGTATTGCATTGGGCTCCAGCAACAGCCGGTGTAAACTGGTGTCAAATACCAGTCTCATAAGAGGGACTTGTAATGGTGTGCTAAGAGGCAAGGCAGTGGTTTTGCTGATGGAAGAAATACAGTAATTTGGGAGAGGGAAAGGGAGGGGGATACAATACTTTAAAACAGTGCCTGCTTCTGTGCATGTGTTTGACGACTTCTTACTTCGCTGACAAGCACATAAAATGTCGCTTCTACAGATTTTAACAATACGGATAAACTTTATTGGAATTCCTTAGGTGAGCAAGTTTCACCAAAGTAAGGGTATGCAGTTTCAATTCATGCAAGAAAGATTCTTCTGCAGTCACTGAAGGTGTGTTTCAGCTCATCTAACTTGACTGGCATAATTTGGCACAATGCACTAATTCCAGTATGGCAGAACTAGTGCCGCAGTGTTCACTCTGCACTCAGCAGATATGACACAGTTTGTCTCACTACAGGTAGTCTGCTAACTACAGCGAAAACGTCTCCGTTAACTCCAAAGAGCATATTTTGACTAGTTCAGGTGTGCCCTGTATTGTCGTATGCCATTTAGTCATACGAAGCCCACCATAGGAGGCAAAAAACCTTACAATAGATAGCATCCCTTCTTACAGAGCTCTCATTTTTTGTGCCATATGAGGCAGACTAGACTTCCAGTTCCCTGCACTGATTTTTCTTAGAGACAAGAGTTGCTTCCAGATTGGTACTGGTCACTCACATACAGAAAACAACATGGGCGGATTGAAAGCAGGCAGCACTCTGTAGCTGGCAATTGCACCTCAGCGTTGCCTACTCCTTCAAAACAATTTCAATTTTAATGTTCAACCTCACAGTGCTCCAATACAAAGTTAAAGCAGACAACACAGTCAATTCTCAATGTTTCAAATAGGATTAAGTTTTCTCAATACTCTGCAAGAGATGCTCAGCAGCTCACAGAATCATCATTCATGACTTCGGTTCCCTTGAAAGCCAAAGACTAATGGAACCAGGCAGCTTCTTCATTTGAAATCTTAGCTTTGCTAAATGGGTATCACAACTAAGTAGTAACATGAAGTTGCCAGACACATACATTTTCTTGGTGTTTCTGCACTTCCAGAATTACTCAGTAGACTTTTTGGACTAATATGTACTTGGCTGTGGGCGGCTTACAACTGATTTTAAAAACAACTTGTGATTTTGATGAATAAGCAGCAACCCAAAGTAAGATGCCTGAATAAGTGGCCTGATTGTCGTAATATAATCCTTCTAAAAAGCAGCTCTTCTAATACATCCAGCCAGCCAGTTTTGAAAATTTATGCTACACGTATAAAACTAAACTTTGCATGCAGTGATTAATATGTATGAAAATAATCTTGGACAATCTCTTACATACTAGACTTAAGCTTGTTGCCAATCTTAAACCACACTAAAGCCACCGAATGAAGGTGGCAGAGCAAGAGGCATGCGAAGACTGCGTGTAACTGTTAGTGTGCTCTCCCTGCTGCAGAAGTGATGCTGTTTACAGGTCCATGTGGGTATCAGTTTATCAGTAAAATCATCATTTTGCTTTTTAGTCTTGGAATTCAACTGGTTTATAATGAGAAGTAGTTGATTAAAGAATTCAAAAGTGCAGTAGTACTGGGACGCTGGGGAACCCACAGCCAGGACTCAGGATTCTAGTGTGTTACCCCAAGGCTCTGTAACTTAGCTCCCTGTACTGTCTTTTTCAAAAAATATATATATATATATCTTATATCAATTTCTTGATTTATAAGTTTACCGGTTTCAGGTAACAGTGTAAGATCACTAGCATTCACACTGCGCTTTGAGATCTTCAACTGTAATTGCAAAACAAGTGCAAAATTGCTCATTTCCCTTAGTAAAAACAGGTGCACAAGGAAAAGACAATTCTAGTACCACCACCTCCAGAAAAGGCCTACTTGTGCATCACCTGAAAAAGATGCAAACTTCCCAAGATCTGCCTTACACAAACTTTGGCAACAATCATTCTTGCTGCCTACAGCAAACACTACAGATAAGAAAAGGCACCTTTTTTTTTTTTTAAAGGAAACAGAGGGGCTGACGGGACATTTTCCTGTATGTTTTGCTCCTAATAACATTTAATTTCTAGCCAAATATTAATGGAAACATTTAACATGGTTAGAGTCTTAATTTTATATATATATATATAAAATTATATATATAAATGCAAGTACTTCTCTACCGTGTCTGCCATCCAAATTATGCGTAAATGGAATAGTGCCCAGACTTGGGGAGATAATTAGAAACAAAACCAGTAAAGCCACACTGCCCAATTAGAAAACAGACAGTACAAATTGGTAAAACAGAACAGAAATATTCTACGCAACCTAGAATATTACTAACAACATGAAGTGTCTTGTTTTGCTCTCTGGTAGTCTGACAGCGTCCCTTGGAACCATTCTGCACCGATTCATGCACTACAAGAAATCACCTGAGCTTTCAGTGGATGTAACTCAATACACATTTTGGCCCTTTTTTTTTTCAGAGAGGTTTAGAACAGTTCGTACGGGTCATTGGCTACTTCCCTGCCCCGGAACACTTCGCCAGGTTTGACGGGTTTCAAAAAGGAGACCGTTGCCATAGGAGCAGAGAGCCATGCCAAGGAAGAGAGTGCCACTGAGACTACTGACAAGCTGCTCTGCATCCACTTCCTTCGTTCAGATGAAGTGGATCCAGCTCTCCTCGCATTCTCGAGGCATCTTAAGGGGGTGGGTCCGGCAGGTAAGACTGTAGTTTTTTCCTCTGTTGTTATCCCAATACTCCTGGCCGTTGACTTGGTACCTTGCTGCAAACTGGACTACAGAGCACAGCTGAAGGAGGAAAGGAGGCACAGGGAGAAAGAAAGTGAAAACATCAACCTGATCCTGCCCATTTTTCTCAGGGATGCTACTGTGCCAATGAGCACACACTTCATGGAGGCTTTTCCACTGGTTGAAGGTGTATCGCACAGATACCTGCTTCTCAAAAGCAACGTTGCGAACCTGGATGGTGCCACTGAGCCCCAAATCTGAGCTGGTTACTCGTTCAAGACACACCTGCTGCTCCTGAAGTCGGGAGGAGAAATCCATACAGTCTGCAGGCTGCTGGAAGTCAGGGACCAAGCACTGCATGGTAAACTCCAAGTCCGAGCTGCTGTACCACAGGTCTGAGTTTATGGAGAGCCTGGAAAGGACATGCAAGGGGATTGATGGATCCTCCCCAGTTTGGAAGACTTTCACTTCGGTGAGCTCCAAACCCAAAGCATCAGCAAACCTCACCCGGTTTGTACGACTCTGGCATCCAGGAACTTGACACTGCACAGCTGCCCGCTTCCTTCTTTCAGGCGATGTAGGCAAAGATCTCGCTCGGCGGCGTATGATGGGCCGTAACGCTGGATCACAGCTGGAGGAACTGCTGCTCTGAAGCTTATTTGGCTGGGGGCCCCCCTTGGCTGGGGCACTGCTCCGAAAAGTCATGCTGCTATTTGTACAGGCTGCTGGGGGCTGCTGCTGCCCTCGGCCCAGTGGTTCTTCAGCCCGTAACATGTTCTGATAGAGATCAGAGAGGTAGCTGGGATTCCTCCGAGGACCACGCACCTCCATTCTTAACCGACGACAAAAAATCCGCGTTAACACTGCAGGTAATGAAGAGCACTGCCCGTCTGAAGCACGCACCTTGGGAATGGCAGCCACTGACAGTCTTTGAGGTTATGGCACTGGATGCAGCAAAAATCAACTGGAACAACGTGGC